TTGTGTATTGTTTAGTGGGTATAATTAATACTGGGCAGTAGTTAGTCTCAGTAATGGCAAAATTCAAGACATACGGGTTTATTTATAATAATTGGCAAGAGCATCTTGTGAGATCTTTGGGTTATTAAAAAAAAAAAAAAAAGACCAACACCATATTCTTTGTTCTAACTGTATTAAAGCAATGGACTTTACTTTCAGCTATGTCAGATGTGACTTTTATATATTGGTTTGGTTGTTTGGTTAATATTTTGGTTTTCAGTATCACAGGTTACCAGTTTATTGTATATTTCTGTACCACTAGCCAGACGGACTTGTATTGGGTGATTTAAAAGCAGGAATATTCTAAAGTTTTGAAGCTAGTTAAGACACCAGATTAAGAGCAGACTTTTGTTTAGTTTCCAAAACCTGATATTCTCTCTTATGATTTGCTTTTGGAGGGTATACAGTCACACAGTTCATACATAATTCAAAATATTTCTCCACTTCTTTGTTAGAAAGACTTGCTGTGACTTTCACCCCTTTGGGAAGAGATGAGAGCAACAATTTCTAGTTCTGTGAGATTGTTTCTATGGACGTTTCTGAAAAAAATCCCCACCTGTGACCTCATCCTTCAGGCCACTCAGTAGCCCAGATGGGGCTTGAGCCCTTCCACCCCTGCTTTTGTCAGGGAGGAGGGCACTTATATGCAGGAGAGCATATCAAGGTAGTATCTATACCAGTAATTTCAGAATAGATTTCCATCCTTTTCAATGGCATTTCTAAACTACAGATATTTATTTCAGAATTGTTTGTTGTTGTGCAAGGGGGTGTGTGTGTGGATGTGCAGCACAGTTAACAATTATTTTATTTAGCAACTAAATTTTAAAACTCGCGACTTTGTTTTCTTTTTGTGATTAACTAATTCAATTTTCTTTGGCCCTTGACCCTGTCATGGATCAAGTGAGGAGATTCCTGAACTACTAATTTTTGGTCACTCTACAAAATATGCCTAACACATAAGCATTTCAGTTGGCATTAACTATAAACAAATTTTGAGTGGTATTTAAACGTGTGACCATAAAGTATTTCTGCTGGCATTTCCTTACTAGTTAGCAGCTGTTACTACACTCTCCAAACGTCTATTAAGTAAAGGAAGACATTTTGTAATAGAGATTAATAGAAATGAATAAGAAGATGATAAGCAAAAAAAAAAAAAAAGCTCTAGGATACAACTGCCTTTTGTTCTTAATTGGAAAAGTGTATGAACAGACTGGATTTCAGTATGAATGTTAGACTTCAGCTGAGTTCCATAAGTTACACTGAGTGTAGCTTAACACGTTTAATTTCAGACATAACTAACACTAATCAGATAGGGATTTTTAAAAACAATTTATTCCATTTCAATGGAATTTCCATTTTACTAGCTGTAATCTCAAATATGTAAATGGTAGCCAAAGCTGGATGTGATGTTTCAGTTAAGAATTTTTTTTTTTGCCCATTGTTTCTTCTAGCATCTTCTTGCCAAATCTTCTGGAGCGCTTGTAATTTCCTCTGTACAGAGCCCAACAGGCTCATCAGCAGCAGAAGGTAAACATAATAGATGTGAGGAATTTCTGGAGATTTATGAGGTTTAGCTTTCTGAAACGTACGCTGTGTCTGGCAATCCTAGGATGTGGCCACATGTGGACTCTGCGAATTGAAAATGTTATAAATGGGGCATCATTTAGCCCTTGTTAGGAATAAAATTTAGGAACAAAAGATGCGTCCTGCAATAGCACTTAAGTATCTTTTCTGCCTTGCAACAGTGTGTTTTAGTTCGAAAGGGTAATCGTCACGAGGTTAAGCTTCTGTTAAAATGTCTATGAAATTTGACAAACAGATTAATATCCCTATTATTTAATGAATTAAGCTTACTACCTACAGTCACCCATATCTCTTCATATTGAAACAATCAGATCAGAGATCATTATACAGCAACCTAGGAATATGAAACTATTCTGAACTAAAGAGATTGGCATTATTGGGATTTGGTATCAAAAGCTTCAGAGCAAAAAATGTAAAAGTACAAGCTTCATAACTACACCATTATTATAAACATTAATTTGTTAAATTCTGCCATCTGTTTATGAAAATGTAATTGAAAAATTGCACTCCTACATACGTTTATTGAGCTGATAAAAGAAGATACATTAGCAAAGACAGAAATATGCCATCCTAATGATCATGATAATATCACTGCATGTTAAAGTGCTCTTTTAACCTTTTTCAGTGGGCTTTACTGATATTAATTAATCAGCTTGAATGCTGTCAACATCTCAAGCACTAGAGTGCTAGTTCCAATTCCGTGCCAGGCATTTCTCTGCATCTTTTTCTTTTATATGTTTAGCTAGAAGAGCCTAGAAGAGCATTAGCAGAACAGTAGAGAGAGGCCTCTTCTTCCTGCCCATTGTTTACCTGTAGTATTGCCTGATGGAAGAGCTCGTGTCTATAAGCCTAGGTTTTTCATGGCATGTTTCATCACCATTCTCAAGGACTTGCATAAATGAAAGATGGGATCATTTGGAGATAAATATTGCCTAGAATATCACTTTAACCCTCATCATCTTTCACAGTACACTAAAACAGAGGGAAAAGGTAGCCTTTAGTGAGAAAGATGATTAAACAAAAGTTTCAGTGACTTCTGAGATGAATGACACTTGAAATGTTTCTCCTTGATGTGTTTAAAATAAAAAAAAAAAATTGCATGGCTGCCT